AGCGTGAAAAACAAAGAAATGAACAACTAGAACATGAACATAAACCCTAAAAACGTGTTCTACGACTAGAGAGCATCTAAAAGAAGATGAAATGAAGCTTGGAAGGGATGATTTGTTGAGGGATGGATGGCTTTCTTTTATAGCACCATAGGTTTATTGAAACTCCCCTCCATTTTAGGTGGAAAAGGGTTGAGATTCACCTAACCACCTCACGGTTTTGAACATGTGGGAAATGTCCTCCTTGCCCGTCATTAATMAAAATGTGCGTTTTGACAAATTGCCCTCCAAAAATGCGCCAGACGCAATTCTGCAAAAGACAGAATTCTGTTATTTTCTTCCAACTTTGACCGCATTTATCTCATATTTTTCCTAAAGTACTATAGTTTGACTTTTATGCATAAATAATCTATGTATGTTCTACTTTAAGAATATGTGGTCCTTTTTGGCAAATAATAATGGGAAATTGGTCAAAAATGTGGTCAAACAGGGCTACCGACACATGTTTCTGTAGTAAAAAGTCAACCCTAACAACTCCTCTCCCTATTTACGGGTCTTCTCTTCTGCTTTACAGGTTGGAATGATGGGTCTATGTTGAGGCGATGCATATCCTCGTGGGACCACGCGAAGACGTCCGAGTTGGATCTGAGGAAGTTGATCAGCTCCTCCCTATCAGTGGCCCCCAACTTGGTTCCTATACTTACTTGTCTTTCGCGGCTAAGCAAAGGAACAAAGTCGAGCTCCTCTATCGGTGCTGAGACTCCCTTTTACCCACTTTTGGTAGGTCGGCCTCGGATTTTAGCAACTCGTCCGAGTTGGCTTGTCCTTCTAGGGCGCATACTGATGACGCTTTAAGCGCGGAGGCATATCACTCCCTTGAAGTTTTCTGCTCTCCTCGGACCGTGCCCACTCCATTAGGAGTTCAGTACTTCAGGACTTGATGAAGTATTGAGGGAACGGCCCGGAACGAATGGATGATGGGTCTCCCGAAGATGGCGTTGTAGGCCGACCTGCCGTCGATCACGGCGAACTCGGCCATCTGTGTTACTTGTGTATCATCTTGCCCAATCGTGACCGGTAAGTCAATACACCCTTCTGGAGAGATCGATTCTCCAGAGAATCTAACCAAGGGTGTTAGACTCTTCTTCAGTTGTGACCTGGTCTATCCCAAGGCAAGATATGTTGGAAGGGACAAGATGTTGGCAGATGCGCCTCCATCTACCAGTACTCTTCGGACCAGGACGTGATCGATGAGAGGAGCGATCACAAGCACATCATTACGGGGCAAATGGACCCCCTCTAGGTCGGCATCGTTGAAAGTAATGGAGGAGGTCGGTCTCTGCTCCTTGATGATGCACACCTCGCGTCTAGCTCCTTTCTTTTATTTCCAGATTGTCCCCCACTTGGGCCTCCGAAAATGGTATTGATGACCGCTGGTTGGCCATCTCAGCGAGGTGGCGTCCTGGAACGCTTCCTCTCTTCTTTCTTTGAAGTAGCCATCTTGAATGAGGTCTTCAATCTGGCGCTTAAGTTCCCAGCAGTTTGGCGTATTATGGCCGTGATCACGATAAAAACGATAATATTTATCTTTATTGCGCTTCTCTGGGTCTCCTCGGAGCTTCTCAGGTCGCTTTAGGAGCTTTTCCATCCCAGTCTCTTCAATGTTTGTAAGTATTTCAAAGATTGGGATGGTGGTCGGAGTGTAATGCTCATAAGAT